CAATGCAACTTATATCTTGGAGAATTCCTTGATCCTCAATGCCTTGGTCGGCTAATACTTAGCATGTCTTAATTGTTGCTTCTTCACTGAATCCTAGTCTCGCCTTTCTGACCTACTTACCCACTGCCGCCGCATATTCCATGATGTGGCTTACCTTTTCTCGGCATAAAATTGGATCCCCTTCCATGAACTTATTTCGTGGAATGCCTTTTCTCACACGAAATTTGCTTACTTGTTTAAACAAGCAGCAAAATTGGGTGTCATTAGTGCATTCTGACTGCTACAAATGCATTGCTCGTAAGGTCTTTCTTCAAGGTCAACCAGTGCTACAATCAGTTTTAATTTAGCGGCAGTCTGTGTTGTTAGTTGGGTGCTGTCGACCAGTTTTCTAAGCTCTTCAAATGTACTGCTAAAGTGCATGGAATTTTGGATGTTCGAAGTGCTGTAGGGAGGTCAGTTGTCTGGTTGGGAAACTTTCGTTACCACCACCTTGCTCCCCTTAGCTACATTCGCTTGTAGATGTTCGCCTCTATTCCTGCTTTGAACATATTCGGGTTCCTGTCCGTAGATTCCAAGAAGAAGTCCAGCCCTTCCTGAATACTCTTTTTTAAGATTAATTGTTCTTATCTTCTTTTGGGTTGATGAGCTTTACAAAGGGCTAAATTTTGGGTAACTGCTCGACATGACAGAACTGGAAATCTGAGCCGCAGGTGCTATCGGATGTTTTTTAGGTTAAGGCTTTTGCACACCTCTGGATTGGAGCTGGGATGTTAGTTTAACACTTGCCTCATTGACTTCAACAGGTTCCCGATGTACTTAGTTTTTCCTCTATGACAAAAAGCACTTTTACATTATTTCAGCAAAGATGCCAAAGGGAAAAGGAAAAGGTGGCAGTGGTGGTGGAGGCAGTGGTAGTGGTGCAAAAGCCACCGCCGCTGCCTCGGGTTCGGGCAGCAAGAAAGGCGATGCTGCTGAAGGCACTTCGAAGGCTTCCTCCAAGGGGGGCAACTCCGTTAAGGTAAGCCGTTGGTCTCGCTCTACTCTCGTTCTGCTAGTGATTTCAAGTCATTTTTTTATCAATTATCCTGTTAGTTCCATTTGTGTTTTGCAAGAAGTGAAACGTAGTGACCTTGGCTAGCAAGCCAAACTTATTTCTTCCCACTCTGCCTATCTAAGAACCTTTAAACTTGAAATTTTGATCGGCCCTGTGGTGTCGGTATGAAGACTTTACAGAGTATGCAGGTCTGAGAATGGAAAAAGGCGTTAATTTAATCGAATAAAGTAAATACACTAGGATGATGGAAGTATAATGATTATCTCTTATTGATAGTCTCATCGAGCATTTCTCACGATTGAAATTCGAGCTTGAAATTAGTGTATGGTTCCAATTGTCCAAATGTGT